GTGCTTGTTTCTTTCATCATGTAAACACTTTGAATCATTAATGAGATTTCTGAAAATTATTCAGCCAAGTCTCTCCTCAAAGTCACTCTCACCTAGCCTAGGTTCCTTTGAACTTTCTCTAGGTTTAGCACCTTTGTGAGTAATCCATTACTCACCTTGCTTTGGTGCTCCCTTCTTCTTCATTCTTCCTTTTTCTTTGCGTCATCAAGGTTCTTCCTAGCTAGAATTTTCATCTAGCAACCTTCAAGGAGAAGATCAAGTGGCCGGAGCAAGCTTAAGGTGAAGAACATTCATCCTCCTCACCTAAGTTTGCCATCACCATAAATTACCATTTCTTAACGTACATCATTATAAAATTATATATATATATATATTAAATTTAATGATGGGATCTATTATAATATTTATCAAAGACACATATCTATTATCATTTTCAATATAGTTTGTGATTTCAAATGATTACACTGACTATCAAAGTCAAGAGCTTGTCACGTATTTAAAATAAATTTATTAAAATAAAAAATATATTTTAAAAATAATTAAATATATTTTCTTAAAATGAGAAATGATTTTTAAAAAAAATTATAATAATATATGATATGATTTTATGTTTAAGTGAGTTACATTTATTTAATTAAAAAGAACAAAAGAAAGTTTGATCCTTGATCAATCTTTACGATGTTTGATTGAGATGTGTAAGTGTTGAATTGAATATCTTTAAAGAACTTATAGGGCAAGTGAGAACACATAATTTTATAGGGTAAGAACAAAGATTGAGCAATATATATAATTAGAGATTGAGTAATTGGTTTGTTATATTCATCCATTTTGTCTGTGTTTAATTTCTTGTTTTGTTTGGTTAAATGCTACTTGCAAGAGAAAATCTTTAGAAAGTTGGTATTGATCATAAGGCTTAAGATTTTTTTTATGTGTTTGAGTTGTAGTTTGATAGGATGCAACATCAAAACTAATGAAATGTATGTTTATGTCAATATGTTAAACCTTTTGATGTGGAACTGATTTCCCTATGTTTAGAAACCTTTGTTTAACTTTTACAACTTGAAATGGCCTTTAGAGAGCCATGTTAGTTCTTTTTATTTCATATTAATTACAATTTGAAGACTTTGTTTATTGAAGTGATGAAAATGTGAATCCTCTCCATGAGACATTTTTATGTAAATGTTTTTTTTTGTTTTTTTATTTAAAGAAATTTATTTTGAAATTCTTTTATATATATAGAGAGAGAGAGAGAGTAAGTCCACCTAGACTTACTCTATTTAATAATTGATGTTCTACATCAAATTTTAACGATCCAACTACATTCAATTTAAAATTCTTAATATATAGATCAAATCTATAAATTTTTAAAAAGTTTAAAAATCGTTTGATACTTTCTTTCATTAATTAAATTGATAGATAATTATAAAATTATTTTATACGTTAATTTAATTTAATTAAATGAAATATCAAATTGTACTGATGAAGAGAAGGAGTATATGAATACGATTCCTTATTTTAGTGTTGTTGGGAGCTTAATGTATGCCATGGTTTGTACAAGACCATATTTGGCTCACGCTGTGAGTGTGGTTAGTAGATTTATGAGTAATCCTGGAAAGGCTCACTGGGAGGCTGAGTGAATTATGCAATATTTGAAAGGTACTAGTAATATCTGCTTAGTTTATGGTTCTAATGATATTGGGCGTGGTCTTATTGGCTATGCAGATTCTGACTATGGTGGAGATCTCGTGAGGAGAAGATCTTTGACATGTTATATCTTCACTCTTTTATGGTTGTGCTGTAAGTTGGAAAGCAACACTTCAACCTACTATTGCTTTGTCTACTACTGAAGCGGAATACATGTCCTTGACAGAAGGGGTTAAAGAAGGTATATGATTGAAAGGTCTTATTGATAGTTTGGGTTTGAATGTGCAGAGACGTATACTTTATTGTGATAGTCAAAGTACTTTATGTTTGGCAAAAAATCTAGTCTATCATGAAAGATCAAAGCATATTGATGTCAGATTGAATTTCATACGAGATGTAATTGAAGACAAATTGTTCTCCATAGAGAAGATAGCTACTGTAGACAATCCAGCATATATGTTGACTAAACCTTTGTCTTTTGAAAAGTTTAAGCATAGCTTGGACTTGGTGAATGTTCGCATCGCTTGAGACCCTTCGGGTAGAATAGGTGGGAGAGTTGTTCTTGGTTACTGGTGACTTGGGAAAATTCAAGTCAGGGTGGAGAATTGTTGAGATGCCTTGAATTTATATCTTGTCCGTTACTATTTCTATCTTTATTTGGGTTGTAATGAGACTGTTATATTTTATCCTTGTTATAAGACTAAAATGCATCTGTATCATCATCTCTATTCATTCAGAAATAAGAAACTCTTGAACTGCCCGTGGACATAGGTCACACTGACTGAACCACGTAATTTGTGTTATCTGCTTTCTCTTGATCTCTTTCTTTTACAATTTTCATAACAGGTATATTATTTCAGGACAAGGCAACTTGTCTGCAATAGCATTTGCAAAATGTTGCAGACGTTGTTTCTAACGAAGCCACTGTTGGGTGCTTGCAAATTAGTGAGAACATATGTTTTGAAAATTAAGAAGGGTATGGACTACCCCCAACTTTATGAAAAGGGATATTCCCTATAAAAAAAAAGTTATGTAAACTCTTTTATTGAGTAGGAATAAATTATATGTACATTCTCACCCAATGTGATAAGAGATTTAAAATCCTAAGTAAGAAAGAAAAATTCAAGTTAGAGTCACTATTGTGAGATAAGGTTCATGAACACAAAATGATAGTAAGCTTAAACTATATATACTATAAAAAGGTTAGTACTATGTATCAAACACTAGAAAGAAGCGCCTCAAAAAATAATAGTGTGTCCACTTAGTGAGTGATAATAAAAAGGTATGATGAGATATGATTAGGTATATTATATAATAATGGTGGACTAGAACAATAATTATGTTGTAGATTTAGAGTCCAAAGGCAACATCTTAAACTAGGTGGCATAGATCCAATCATAGGAGCAGACTAATTATTTATAGATCTTAAATGAAGGATTATAACTTGAAGAGATCATTAGGATAGATGTCTCATGCATGTTAGTCACATTTAGAACACTCGCTTAGACTTTTTTGTCGTTAGTTTACTCTTACTATTTTATAAAATAAGTAGATGAAGCTACTAGGAATGAAGCTAACTTGAAGCTGCTAGCAAAAGGATATGTTTTAATTTATGAAAGTTTTATTATTATTTTTGAATATTTTATTTTGAAGCATTTGTATATAACTTGATGTACGAACTATGAAGTACAAAGCAGTGGGTGTTTGTTATTTACGAATTTCCAAATAAGGAATTTGTTTATTGTAATGTTCAACTTTATGAGCTTTACCTCAAAATGTTTAAAACAAATTTTTATGTCCTAGAAATCTAATCATATATGGTAATACCCCTAGGGTGTTATATTTTGTGGCAATAAAGTTGTAGAAAATTTTCGTCTCTTTTATAGATGTGCATTGATCTTATCTCAATTTTTGATGAATCTTAAAAAATTTTAAAAACAAAACATGTTACCTCTACCACCTTGCTTGAAATTTTCAATTACCAACCCAACCCATTCCCTTTATACTTGGTAGAAACTGTCATACTTAGAAAAGAAAATCTTTGCATCATCCCCAAGAAGCCATTGAAAATCTCTTCATATTAATAAGATTAATAACCAATATTGAAAGTTGATCGATCTATTTGTCAATGTTTTAAAGTTGACAAGGACTTTCCTTAAATTTATAATTAGGCTTGAAGAATGTTGAATGTTCTTCAGTATATAAAGAAAAATATTTCTGTGTAAGCTATCAGTAATTAAGATGAAAAAGAAGCCTAAAATTATAAAGGACAAAAATTGCCAATGTTATATGCAACATGACACTTTACTTGATGAAAATCATTAGAATTTGCATAAACAAGGAGATGGGTTAATCATCTTATCATTTACAATTTTCCTTTCAGACCATTCTTTTTGCAAGAAATTTGAAGAAAATTGACTACTGAATTTAATAGAAAAAAAGTGTATAACTTACAACGATCTTAAATCAGTGAGTTTTCCTAATTCCTTTGGAAGCTCTCCTGATAAAGCGTTAGCTGCTAATCCCCTTCTCAAAATTAACGAGTAAAGAAATACATCACAGAAAATATATAAAGGAATCCATGATTCAAGAACAAATGACATAGTAAGACTAACAGTTATAACAGATGAGAATAACTTACAAGTGTGTTGTAGTGGATCAATTTTATCAACAAAAAAAAAAATAGTCTCACAAGAACCACATACAAATGCATATAAACTTGTCTCAGAAATAGAAGAAAGAAAGAAAACTAGACTTACAGGTATTGCATGCGACTTAGATTGCCAATGGAAGAAGAAACCGAACCTGTCAAGTAATTTTGGTTCAAATTCCTGCAAAACATTTTAGAAAAGTAGGTAGTTGTTATACACCATTGGTATTAATGTAATTGATTATTAACTAAACTCTCATTTTAGTCCTAAATTTAGAAGGCATTGTTATATTAATTTCTGGAAGAAAAAAAAAAGTTGTCAAACAATTTTTGTAAAATAAATCCTTAAATTTAATTATTTACTGTTGTTTTGATCCTTAAATATATATTAATATTATCACTTTAATATTTTTTTTTCTAATTTCGAACTAATACGATCGTTAATTTATACATTTCAAGAATTTTTTTTTTCGATAATTTCTGAATTTCATGGATATATATGACAGTTTATTCTTGATTATTTATGTTACGGAAAGTGCGCAACTAACGTGTCATCATAATTTTTTATGTGAGTAAATATTCTCTATGATCTTAAATTTGAAAAATTTTGAGGTATTAATTCCTGAAACTTAGAATGTAAAATTAGCTTTTAAAAAAGACTATTAGGGTTAGCCTAGTGATTGGGTGAGGAAGAGTTGAGGTAGTTAAAAGCATGAGGACCTAAGTTCAATCTTCATTACGACCAACTTTGTAATTTTTCTTATCTTTAAAAAAAAAAATTAGCTTTTAAAAGTTAGTGTAAATTGACGATCACATTAGTCTAAAAGAAATGTGTGATTAAAATGATAAGAAGTAATTAAATTTAAAAAATTATTTGATACTATAAAATATAATTTTATAATTCTAGAAATTAATATGATAACGTCTTCTAAATTAGAGATGAAAGTTATCAATGTATAATCATTTGTTTCTAACCAATGTAATATTGTCAATCACACAAAAATATATAAGCATACAGGTTGAAGAGGTATGTCAAAGTCCAGAGCTCTTTCGGGATCTCACCAGTAACATCCACTGAAAAGACTTTCCTGTTCAATGAATCCAACAAAACAAGCAAGAAAATGAATGTCAATGATATTTCTTTTTAGCTCAGAATCAGATTCAGACTAGAAATTAATTCTAAAGGTGATCTTAATTTGTACAGTTGGGTTATGTGGCATGTAGATCCCTTTTGATATGAACAATCACACTTGATAATTATATTAAATTGGTCATCATCCAATGAAGTAGCATCAATGGCCACTCCACTGCATGGTTCACCGCTTATATTCCATTGAGGTGGTGCAGATATTCTCCATTTCTGGAAAATTGCATTTAAAGCTGTCACTGCAAAAATAAATAATACATTTTAAGTTAGTTTTCAATTCATATATATATATATATAAAAAGGAAGATTCAAACGATGTAATTTTTATTGACTGGTATATCATTTAATAATTTTATATTGAATGTAAATTTTGTCAATATGTTGAATTATAATTTCATATGTAAAATTTTGTTAAAATTGAATAACGATTTAAAGACAATTAAAGTATTCATATTTTACTATATTTTGAAATGAATATATTATGTTCTTTTTAGTCTATATGAATAAAATATTACATCATCTTGGATTAATATAAATTTTTACATAAATAATCTAAGAATAAAGACTTTCAATTTAATGAAATTTTGAAAAATTCATATTTAACCTAAAGTTATTGAACTTTTTAATAATCAGTAAAAGTTATATCTATATTATTTGTATATATATATATATATATATATATATATATGAGAAATATGAATACGTTTCATGAGTTCTTATGTAGTTTTTGATTTGTCTTTTCCTTCATATCCTATCCAGCTGAATAGCTGGCTCCGGAATTGGAAAAACACCAAGAATACAAGTCTATTGCGAAGGCTTAACTGGATTTGTCATCATTCACTTGTTTATATAAAAGCTTCACTTGGTTTGATCCTTCTTCCAATATGTTGTATATATATAGTGCATCTCATTCATATGTCATAATACCAAAGTTCTATTCATGAAAAAATAGTCTTCAACTAGATTTACTAATTAAAAGAAGACACTACAGAAAATATCAGGTTGTCAATAAAAATTAATTATTAATAAAGTTAATGAATATTTCACACAAAAATTAATTATTAATAAATTTATGAATATTTCACACTAATAACATGATTATTTAAAATATATATATATATAATTTCTTTTAAAGTATAAATCAAATTTACAAATTTAAAAAAAATTAAAAATCATTCATTTTCATTAATTTAAATCATCAGAAAAAAAAAATAGATTCAAATTGTTCAACTGAATGATTTAACACATTCAAATTTTTTGCTTTTTCATCGATCGTCACGTGATTTTGCAATAAAAGTTCCATTAATCTTTGAGTCATACATTTATATAGAATAAAAGGGAAATAGAGACTTACCT